GCTCTTTGCAGGCATGCACAGCATCCAGCTCGTCCTGAGATTGCAAATGTTCACCGTGCGCTGCTTCATTCCACACTCCAGAATTCTTTCCAAACCAAGCTTAGTAATAGTAAGCTTGATGGCAGATCTATCATCACCTCTTCATTCCTTTAGCATTAAATAGTACAATAGATGCTCACTAGTTATTGAAAAAATAATGGAATAACTGAATTATATTGGGAAAATAGTGTTAAATGCTAGCACTGGGAATATTGTAGAATGTGGTCATTTTTGTCATAGGAGAACTTTGATGACACTGTGAATGTTATGTTTTCTCACCCACATGCTGGGAAGCGAATTCAGGGTCTCATGCATGCTCAGCAATTGCTCTAAAAGGGCAATGTATCTCTAGAATAAAAAATATTTGTATTTAAAATCATTTTCTGGCACATCTGGCTGAGGCAGGAAGATCACAATTTGGAGCCAAGCCTAGGCAACTTAGTGACTTAGCAAGACCCTGTTTCAAGGCGGGGTGTGGGGCTGGAGATGCTTAATGTGAAAGCCCTGAGTTCAATCCCTAGTACTACCCAAAAGCAATCATCTCTGGCATAGAAAGTACAAAATGCATGGGAAAAATCACATATTGTACATACTCAACTCTACAGATTTTCACACAACCAGCACCCATATCTACTGTAGCACTTTTCCTGCCCCTCAGAAGTCTCACACCTCTTACTTTGTAGCCCTTTTTGCAGTGTAGATTAGTGCTACAGAGTCATTTCATATTTGAATACAATTCAAGAACAGAATAAATAAAAATGTTTCTATCCTATAACAAAATAATTACTTAATATTCATTATTAATAGCCAACACTACAGGGCCTGGTATTTGAGCTCATTGTTTCTGCTGCCTGCCTTGCAAGCACAAGGACCCGAGTTTGATACCCGGTACCAAAAAAAAAAAAAAAAAAAGCCAAACCTACAAAATGAAAAAAATTCGCTTTAGTACTTTAAGTAGCCCTTTTAATTGTCCTAACCAAGAATCATATTTAAGTCTTTTTTTTTTTTTTTTTTTTTTTTTTTTCTTTTCGGTATCAGGGATCGAACTCAGGTCCTTGTGCTTGCGAGCTAAATGCGCAGCCCACCAAGAGTCGTATTTATCAATGACTGCACTCATGTATTATTCAGTACAAAAATGTTAGTAATAAGCATTAAATACTCATTTTAACTTTTGTGTTAACAATGAAAAGTACAATCCTTTTATGTCTAAAAGTCATATTACTTTGATTTCTGTTTTAGAGTAGTAATTCTCAATGGGGAGGGGCTTTTTTTGGGGGGGAGACATTTTTGGGTGTCACACTTGGAGAATGCTACTGACATCTGGTGAGTAAAAGGCTGAGACACTGTGAAACTTAATTCACAGAGTAGTCTCCCCTAAACAGAATTATGTAGCTCACTGGCTAAGGATCTCCATAGTACCCAGGCTTAGGCAGTATTTTCTGAAGAATGGAGAGAGTGTTTGTGTTTGGTGCCAGTTGAAGTGAGTTTAGGTCCATAATGATGAAGGTCAGAAATTGAATTCCATAGGCACGAGTCCAATTTTCTGTAGCCCGTGCACCCCAACCCCAGCCAGAGGTCTTGAATGTGTTTGCTACTGAATATAAGAACAGTGACAGTATACTGAATGTTTCAGTATAAAGTTATGACCACTCTGGAAAACCTCTCAAAACGTTTTTTACTTCAAATCTACCTCTCCTCCTGGAGCTACTTTTCATTAGATTGGAATCAGGTTGTAAACTATGACTAGCAACCTCGTTTAATGTTAATTGATTCCTGAGTCAGTGCTTTAGAAGCTTGAAGCTCAACAAATGTTACCTTATTTGTAGGCAGTTATCCAACTCAAGCCGCAGTCACCTGCCAGCTGTTGGGAGGGGCTAGGCAAGGAGTCCAGTAACTCTCCACAAGCACTAGACCGACATACTCCATTGAGTGCACGAGGTCGGATTCATGCAAGTTAGTGCTGGTAATAAGTAGAAATTAATATTGGTAAAGTTCTTCATATAGCATTTCATTTTTCTCTCATGAGCTTATTGGAACAAACCCAGTCCTTATGCATACTAAGCACTTTACCACTGAGTTACACTCCTGGTCCCGTTTTCTACCTGTGACAAGTTGATCTACCATGAACAAAGAGAGCTGCACTTAAAACATGGCCTAAAGCAGAGGTGGCAAACCTATGTCATGCATTTTACTATGTTTTTAAGATGAAAAATGTTGGGTCGGGGATTTAGCTCAGTGGTGCCATGCCTGCCTGGCAAGTACAAGGTCCTGAGTTCAATTTCTGGTAACCCCCCTATAAAGACAAAAGTTGTCAATGAAGAGTTTTGGTTTTTTTTCCTAAACTAAAACCTCAGTATTCCTATTTAATTGCAGTGTTGGCATTAAGTGATAAGTAAGTGGGTTTGGGATTATAGTTTGTCGGTCTCTAAAAGGTAGGTCATTGGTGGCCTGAAATATTTATTGATAAGCAAGAAATAACTGGCTTTCATATAAACTATTTCTCTAAAATATATTACATAAGAATGCTACAACAAGCCAAGGTTTATATAATTGGAACTGTAAATCTTTAACTCCTTAAACTTTAATGTTTAATATTAAAATAGAAACACTAAATCTGCTAAAAACTCTTGAAGACATAAGTGTAGGGAAAGACAGTGAATAAAACTCCAATCTCATAGAAAATAGCACAAAGAATCAACAACCAGGATCTCATCTTACTAAAAAACTTCTGCAGAGCGAAAGAAACCACCAACAGAGTGAAGAGACAACCCACAATGTGGAAAAAAAATTTGCCAGCTATTCCTCAGATAAAGCCCTATTATCTAGAATATATAACTCAAAAAACCAGACACACACACACCCCCAATTTAAAGACCCAACCCAAAAATGGGCATCTGAAATGAACAGACACTTCTCAGGTGTAGGAATAGAAATGACAAATATATGACAAAATGTTCAACATCACTGGTCATTTGAGAGATGCAAATTAAAACAACAGTGAGACTCCATCTCTAGAAAGAATGGCTGCTATCAAGAAATCAACCAATAACAAATGCTGTCAGGGTTGTAGAAAAAAAGGAACCCTTCTCCACTGTTGATGGGAGTGTAGACTGGTGCTACTGCTGTGGAAATCAGTGTGGGGATTCCTCAAAAAATTGAAACTAGTCGTTCCATTCAACTGACCTATTCCCTTTCTTGGTATCTTACCAAAAGAATTAAAAGCATCATACCACAGCAATATATGCACAGCCACATTTATAGTGGCACAGTTTGTAATAACTAAATCTTGGAAACAGCCCAGATGCCCATTAGTCAATGAATGGATAAAGAAGATGTGGCTTTTTTAATAAAATGGAGTGCTACTCTGCCATGAAGAAAGATAAGCTTAAGACACACATTCAAATATAACACTGTTTCTCTCGTGTGAGAAACTGAAAGCATAAATAAGGACCACAATGATTAAATACATTGGGTAATAGGAAGAAAAGTTCAAATGAGAAGTGGGGAGTAAGGGAGGGGAGAGGGAAAGGAAAGAAGGGATAAGGAAAAAATATAAACAGCTTTTGTAAAGGAGAAGGGTTGAAAGGAGAGAGAATGGGGAAAACAAGGTGTATCGTACAGGTACAAATTCCTTATGGATGTTATTGTGTATATCTAAAATGTATTAATAAAAAGTAAAATTTTTAATTTTAAATAGTCTCTTTTGTACTGAGTGGCTCATTTGTATTATGGAAACATTATTTCATGGATTTGGTATTGGAGAATACACATTCATGAAGGAAAAAACCTTGGCTTTCACTTTCAAATCCTAATGAACAGTTTGAGCTTGGACCATTTTAGCTGTTACATTCCTGCTTTCGACCTGAGAAGGAGGGTGCTTAAAGGAAAGTAACAAATAAGGAATTAAGATAGTCGTATGAAGAAAGATCAGGAGGAGGGAGGACTGCTCAGGATCGGGAGTTAGGCAGTGAGCCCTGGACTCTGCCTTTCACCAACACTGGCTGTTCTCATGGTCAGCCTCGGCTGCTTGATAGACTTGAAGTGTAGGGTGTCACTTGCTCAGTCAGAGCAGTCGAAACTTTACTTTCTGAATCTTACTTTCCTTCCCTGTGAATCATTCTTTTGGCAACTGTCTCATTACTTGCTATCAGGAGCAGTCAGGGTCATAACTGGGATCCAGGGCTGGTGCAACACACCCATAACCCCAGCTACAGAGAAGGCTGAAGCAGGAGAGGGGTCATGAGTTCAAAGCTAACATGGGCAACATTGTGAGCCCCTGTATCAAAAACAAATTTAAAAAAGATCATAAATTGTAAGGAGCGGTCCTCAGTGCCTCATGTAGGAGATGCACCAATAAATGAAGGTGGAGAGTACCTCAACTATTTGGAGTTCTGTCAGCTAAAATGTGATATTTTGTCCCTATGGTCAGAGTCTGTCTTTCTGGTACTGTATGATGAACCTTGTGTATTTGGAAGTTCTCATACTGTCGTATGCTAATAATGCTCATGCCTATGAATGATGATCCTTAGTATAGATACAAAGTATGCAAGCAGTGTGTTTAAATGCTTTATTCTCTCTGTGTCAGCTTTGCCTTTAGAGCACACACATTGAGAGTACTGTATTTGTGGCCACAGAGAATGGAAGCAGAGAGCCCCAGATGGAGCAATGCTGGGTATGGACAGGGTGGCAGTGAAAATAATTGCATGACTGCATTGAGGGCTTACGAGTTTACTCGACAATGAATTTTTACAGCTTAATCAAATATATTTTTAAGGAAACTGTTACTTGTTTCCATAGCAAGGGCATGGCTGAGAAGAATTTAACAACTGATAGTGTAATATGGTGTCATTTCCTGGGCTCGTCAGAAGTCTCCAGCACTCTCACCATGTCCACATGGGGAATTACGCAGATTTTATGATGCACTGTCAGATAACCAGATTTCTCTCTCCCTTTGGGTGCAGACCCTAATTATCTCATGGCTAATGAGCGCATGAACCTGATGAACATGGCCAAGCTGAGTATCAAGGGCTTGATTGAATCAGCTCTGAACCTGGGCAGGACTCTGGACTCTGACTACGCTCCCCTCCAGCAGTTCTTCGTGGTGATGGAACACTGTCTGAAGCACGGTTTGAGAGGTGGGCTTTAATCTCCAATGTAGATGTGCATGCAGGTAGCTCCTAGTAACGCACACTCACAAAGAAAGCATTCTTTGTGGAAGCAAAAATGTAATCTGATGGATTGTAGGCTCTGTGGGAGCAAGGCTGTGATGACTTAAAAGACTCACTGGGCTTCAGAAATACAGATCATTAAACACAAGTTGGAAGGGCCATCGTAAGTGCCTAAGTCCAGTATAGCAAGTATGTCCAGTTGACAGGGAAATAGGCCTCCCCCAAGGTCACACAGTACACTGGGCAGAGCAGGTGCTAGAATTCATGTCTCCTGATTCTTCAGGGTTCAAAACTATAAGCTCTGAGGCAGAACCTAGTCTTACTTTCATTTGCTTCCTTTATTCCTCCCTTCTCAGTATTCAAACAGGGAAATGCCCCCCCCCGACACTGGACTACTTTCTTTACTAATACTATGAAGTTTTAAATACTAAATTGGTAAACTGTTTTATTAGAGCATTGGGCCACAAGTTCTTCCTGAAAATGACGGACTAAGTCTTGGGAAGTAGAGATGTTTTTATTTTCACAAAATTTTATTTATTCTGAAAGCAAGAATAATTTTAATGTCTTAATGATCTGATATAGGATTGGGTCCCTGAAAAGATGGGAGAAGTATGAAAGGGTGTGTGTGTGTGTGTGTGTGTGTGTGTGTGTGTAGTAAGAGCTTTATATTATGAAAATATTACAATGCTGCTTTGTTGTTACCTTAGCCAAGAAAACTTTTCTTGGACAAAATAAATCCTTCTGGGGACCTCTAGAACTCGTAGAAAAACTTGTTCCAGAAGCTGCAGAGATAACAGCAAGTGTTAAAGATCTTCCAGGACTGAAGTAAGTCAACAGATGAATTCTGTTTCTTAAGAGCAGCATTCTTATTGTCTCCTTGAAGAATGGTAGTAAAGATGACAATGCCCATAATTATTTTATAGCTATCCAAAAGGCATACTGTAGTTATGAGTAAACAATTAAGAAAGAAGTAGTATGCAGAATTTAAAAAGTGTGCCCTTGAAAGATAATTTTTTTTCCAAGAGAGTTGTCTTCACATTAAAATACCAAGCATTTTCTTATTTCTTTTTATTTTAAAGCATTTGTGAGATCAGCCTCAAGAGATTCAGTCTGGGGAGGTGGCTTGACCTAACTTAGTGAAAAACAAAACAAACATGTATTCAGCAGGGCTGGTGGATACATATGTATTATTCCCAGCACTCAGGAGCCTAAGGCAAGAGGATTGCAAGTTTGAGGGCAGCCAAGGATACATAATAGGTTCAAGACCAAGCTGAACTACATAGCAAGATCCTGTCTCAAAGAAGAAAAGAGTATTCAGTGGAGTTTGAGGTATGAGTATTAGAATAGGTGTCTAGTGAACCTTAGGAACTGTCACCTATGACTTGCCTTAAAATTTGGGATTACTGATCACTCACCATCCAAAATGAGATTAGTTTAATTTTAAGCGGATAAAGGATGAAACTGTCTGCATTAGCATTTGGCTAGAACATACTCCACAGTAAATTTAGGAGTTTTCAATACAAATCTGAAGGACAGTCTCCAGGGGTCTTGTCTTCACATGCAGTATAGTTTTTGCAAAAGCATCTGTCCCAAATATATCCCCAAGTCTTCTTGTCCCACACAACAGTACAGTACAGGGATGTAGTGGGAGAGGTGGTGAGGAGCACCTCCCTATGTTCATTTGTATAGAGACCACTGGCCAGAGCAGACATGTCTGCTCCACTGCGGTCCCTGCCGCTGTTAATCGTGCTGTTACAATTGTGCTTGGGTTGCTATGTTTTCTAGGACACCAGTAGGCAGAGGAAGAGCCTGGCTTCGTTTGGCATTAATGCAAAAGAAACTTTCAGAATATATGAAAGCTCTAATCAATAAAAAGGAACTTCTCAGGTATGAACATCTTTTTTAGCTTTCTTCATTCCTTGGTATGCTCTGTATCACACAAGACAACATAGATTAATCTCATGAGTATAATTTTGGGCAAGGAAACAATATACAAAATTACATTGTGTATTTGTTTCATTTATATAAAGATCAAAACGTACACAAAACCAATCTTTTATAATAGACAGGAAGCTGTGAACACTCCTATGCAGGATCCTGTGTGGATATAACTTTGGTAAATACTAGGGGACATGATGGTCATGTAGTAAGAGTGTGTCCCTGGGGTTTTGTGTATTGGGAATCACCACAGTGTTAAGCAGTATGTAATCATCTGAGAGTGTTCTCAACAATTTGTACCCATTTAGAACTTTTCACTTTTAGGAACATTGTTTCTCTTTTGGTTTAGTGTTTAAAGTGCCAAATAGCCTGTTTCAGAGAGGACTGCCTGAGGAAAAGGAAGATTGGACTACATGAACACAGAGTACATAATATAGGATGTTATAAAACCAGTATAAGCAAGGTTGTAGGAAATCATTTATTAAAACAGAAAGATACTATTATGTCAAAAACAGTTTTCAAATTAATTATAATGGTATAATCTTTTTTATTTTTCCTTAAAATATGTATATCTCCATAAATTACCTGAAATGTTATAGTATACTGTCTTAACAAGTTTTTAGTAAGTAGAATTATAAGGTTCCTTGCACATTTTCCTTGCTTTTTTTCCTGTAATGAAAATTGATTTTATTAAACAATAAAAGTGATCCCCTAAAAGTTTAAATCATCTTTAGCCTATTAGCATGCTGCTTATTAGGCAGGTTTTGTTAATTAGTCAAAAATATATAATTCAGCAGTTACTTTTTTATCAGTACATGTTTGCAGTACATGATTACATTCATTGTGAGGAGCTGGTATATAACACATCTTAAAGTTCACTTTTTTTTTTCAGTACTGGAAATCGAACTCAGGACCTTGCATTTCCCAGGCAGGCACAGAGCCACTGAGCTATATCCCTGGCCCAAAGCTCACATTTTTAAGATGTTTACTCAGTGCATTCATTACCAAAATGGTATGCTTAAATAGACTAAATAGGATAAGGCAATTTTTTTTTAAGCCAGCTAAGTTTTTAGATGTATAACAAATTGAAGAATTATCCTATGGTACACCACAAATACAAATATATCAGAAAAGTTTGAATACTTGTTTCAACCACAATACCATACTGACACTGCTTTTTTAGCCAGACCCTGTACATACGGTCTAAAAAGTTATTTCTGTACCTGTCACCTAAAATATTTACCGAAACCTTTGTGGTGTTTTTGTTTTGTTTTGTTTGTTTGTTTGTTTGTTTTGGTAACGGGGATCGAACGCGGGTCTTTGCACTTGCAAGGCAGGCGGTGGAACCACTGAGCTAAATCCCTGGCCCACTTTTGTGTTATTTTACTTTTTCACTCTTACCATAGATGACCATATTCAACCATGAGGCAAACATTTTCTCCTTGTTTCATTGTATCGTGGGTTTTGAGGCTTTATTATATTATTCTGTGGACTTATCTTTCAGTGAGTTCTATGAACCAAATGCTCTCATGATGGAGGAGGAAGGAGCTATAATTGCTGGCCTGTTGGTGGGGCTGAATGTCATTGATGCTAATTTTTGCATGAAAGGAGAAGATCTGGACTCTCAGGTATGGGAAAAGTATTCATTTAACCAAGAATATCACTCTTGAGTTCTGTTACATTTTGATGTGGATTCTAAGATATCAACCAAATTAGAAGAAATTAAGTTATAATAGGATTGCCTTTGGTTTTGATGTGAATATTAAAAGTTGGGTTTTTCATCTCTTGGAATTTTTTTTAATCTCACTGGCTTGACTGTGATAACCTATTGAACCTATTGAATGAATAGTCTTACATACAGCTGCGGTACATGGTGGTTATGAGTAAAGCTTCTGAAGCCAAATCTGTTACCATGAACTTAGTTCAAATTCTCTTCCTCATTTTCTAGCAGAATATATGTTGGAGTTACATGGTTTCTTGGTGTTTTGGAATCTTTGCTATAATGTGCTATAAAAGTATGTTAATTGCTGAACATATAAACATGTTGATTTCAGTGACAGTGTTTCTCACCTTTTCTGTATAACACACTACAATACATTTCTGTTAGGTTTTACTCTGTGAAAATAGAAATGGAAATATAATTTAGTCAGGATTTTACCAAATACAGTAGCTGAATAATAAAATGGCAATCTTAAATGAATACCTGTATCAGTGAAAGTTTGAAAGGAGCAACATCAAAATGTTAGCAGTTATCATCGAGATTATGGATATATTACTTTGGTTTGTATTCTCTGAAACTCAGGAGGATGTGCATTTTTTTCATAATGATAACTTTGAAAAAATTATTCCTAAAAGTGACTAGAAGTTCAGTAGCAAAATATCTGAAATAAGTAAAAGAGAAACTTTAAACCTTATTTGCATTTATATTAAGCATTGATTTATATTAAGCATTGATTTTTTTTAGTCATGATCTGGTCTTCTAGGTCCCATTGATTTAATTTTGATTCTTCCAGCTCATGTCAATTCTTTTTTTTTTTTTTTTCCTTTGGTTTTTGAGACAGGGTCTCACTATGTAGTTGAGACTGACCTGGAACTCACTATGTAGCCCAGGCTGGTCTCGAACTCACAGTGATCCTCCTGCCTCAGCCTCCCAAGTGCTGGGATTACAGGCATGCGCCACCACGCCCAGCTCATGTCAATTCTTGATTGCATTTTAAAATAAAACATTAAATTTTCATCATAAATTTCTGGTTTTGTCACGATAGTATTATAACGCGCCACCGCCCAGCTCATGTCAATTCTTGATTGCATTTTAAAATAAAACATTAAATTTTCATCATAAATTTCTGGTTTTGTCACGATAGTATTATGTGGAGTACCTAGAGAGAGACATTGTTTGGTGCCTTCAAAAAATTACCTAATTTTGTGTTAAATTCTGAAATCTCTCTGTAGGTTGGAGTTATCGACTTTTCCATGTATCTCAAGGATGGGAACAGCAGTAAAGGTAGTGAAGGGTATGTATACAGAAAATTAGATTTATTTTCTTTTTCTTTAGTATTGTTTCTCCTTTTGGTAGTGTTTTAAATTCACTGCAATATTGACTTAACAGACTTGCCAAAAGAATTTCTAAAGATAGATTTAATAAAGTCTTGCTGAGAATATCTCATTATTGTCCCTAGTGCCAAACCCTGAAAGAGTTTTATTATTATTATTATTATTTTTTTTTTTTTTTTTTTTTTTGTTTGTTTGTTTGTTTGGTACCAGGGATTGAACTTGGCACCTTGTGCTTACAAGGCAGGCAGCAAACCTACTAAGCTTAATTCTCGGCCCTGAAAGGGTTTTTAGTTAAGTGATTGTTCTGTTCTTTGGCTCAGGAACAAACAAAATAAAAATTTATAAAAGGAATCTAATTTCTCTACCTCTTAAAGTACTATTTGAAAACACAGCTTTTCACAAAAGGGATTTATTCTCAGTTTGCTTAAAATTTGCAGTATAAAATATACATCACGAGGTTACATAAAATATTCACATCAGGGTCAGTTATGACAGTACATGCCTATAATCCTAGCTACTCAAGACTGAGGCGGGAGAATCATGTTTGGGGCCAGCCTGGGCAACACAGCAAGACTTGTCACAAATTAAATAAAGAAAACGTTATGGAGAGCTGAGTGAGAGGTTTCTTGAACTCTATGCATTTACTGCTCTAATTGTAAATCTAAAATTATTTCAAGCAGCTTAAAATTTTTAGATAATATTTATAATACTTGGTGATTAGAGAACAGAAGTGTACCTTATACATTTTACATACCAGTTAAAAGCATAATTATTAGTCCAAAGTTTTAACCTTGGGCATTGAGTTTAAGAGTATACCACTCATTAGAAAAAAGAGTATATCACTCATTTGGTAGTTAGACAGCATGTGGAATTAATTTTGGCTTTTAGCAGAAGAGTCTCTAACTTGTGCTTGCTCTAGTTTGTTTGTTTTTGGTACCAGGGATCGAACTCAGGACCTTGTGCTTATGAGGCAGGTGGTGGAACCACTGAGCTAAATCCCCAATCCCTGCTCTAGTTTAATTGATCCTGAATACTTAACTTTTATACCCTTTTCTTTTCTGTTTTTTTTTTTGTACCTGGGGATCAAACTCAGGACCTTGTGCTTACAAGATCTGTGACAGCATCACTGAACTAAATCCCCAGCCCCATTTACTTTTTCCCCCATTTACTTTTAATACATGTAGCATTTATATGTGGCACATAAAGCAAATATATGGCCTTTGAGAACAACAGTATTACACCAGAGTGAGTTTAATTCAGCTTCTGTGATAAATGGAAAATTGTTTCTATAAATACTAGTGAAAGCTGAAAAATTAACTTGCAAAAAGAAAACTATATGCACTGATGGAGTATAAAACATTATACCTAAAATATAACTTACTAAAGTTTGTAAGCACTTTGTTTTTGTTTTAATTTTAACTCACTTTTTATTGAGTATAATTGACAAAATGATGTATATTTAAGGTATGCCTCACGTTTTGAGATACATATGCATTGTGAAGTAATTGTTACAACCAAGCTAATTAACATATTCCATCTCCTCACACACTCACAGCAGTTCTTTATTTCTTCCACTTCAAAACATTCTACAAGAGCCGGGGATGGAGCTCAGTGGGAGCATGCCTGCCTGGCAAGTGCACAGTCCTGAGTCCAACTCCCAGTGCCAGAAAAAAGAATAGAAAACAAAAAACATTTTATAATAGCACAAATCAAGGGAAAAAAATTAAAAGAAATAGGTGTTCATCTTACTGCACAAGCATAAAACAATGACAAAATACCATTCTGAGCAATTTCTTGATATATCTTTGTACATTAATACACTTTTAAAATAAAAAATAGGCAGTGCCATATGTGCTGTTCTGTGACCTGCTGTTTGACTCAACAGTGTAGTGGACTCATCAACATCCTGATCTCTTAACTGTGTAATCAGTCGCTTGTTTCCATCAACATTGCCTCCTTTACTCCCCTTCTCCTTTCCTTCCATTTGTCTAATAAGTCTCCCTTCTACTTTCCTGTTGTCTTTTTTAGGGAAAACACGCACTATTTGTCTTTCTGAGTACAGCTTGTTTCACTGAGCACAATCGCTAGTCCCATCCATTCTTCTCTAGGTAGTACACAGTAAATCCATCTTTTGTGACTGCTGAGTAGGCTCCACTGTGTGTGCGTCACGTTTTCTTTAACCATTCATCTATGGATGGGCACCTAGGCCGGCTCTGCATTGGTGTTGAGAATTGTGCCGCACCAGAGAGATACACAGGTGTCCCAGGTGCACTGACTTTTAATTCTTTCTGGTGTATGCCAAGGAGTGTTATTTTAAAAATTAAACTGAATGGTAGTTCTGTTTTTAGTTAGTTTGTTTGTTTTTTTGTTGTTGTTGTTTTGCTATCCCAAAACAAAACACTCTCCCTTACTGGTTAGCCTCTCCTAATCTCCCCCGCTAAATCAAGGCAACCACTGAGCCCCTCTGTCCTTCATAGATTTTCCTATTCTGAGAATCTTCTTTACTTCAAAATAGACCATGCTTATAGCAACAATAAAGAGTTTATCATACCTAGAGAAATAGAAATCCTGTGAAGTGAGCTCTCGCTCTATATTAGAATGAAACTAGAAACCAACTGCAGAAACATACTTAGAATACAGTAACTTTCTATTTAAGCACTTTGTTAAAGTGGATTTCATTTTTCTTTTTTCCTTCTAGTTCTGGAGATCAAAGCCAGGGCCTTCACACTGAGCTCCATCCCCAACCCTTTGATATTTCTTAGAGACAGAGTCTTGCTAAGTCACTGAATTGCCCAGGCTGAGCTTGGACTTGTGATCCTCCTGCATCAGCTTCCAAGAGTGCTACAATTATAGACATATGCACCCCAATGCCCTGCTTCATCTTTGAACTTCTGAGCCTTTCTTATCGATGTGTCATGGGGTTATAGATCAAGTCTGTCTTCTGGCTCAGTGTATCTGTGCCCTAATTTTGTTCTCATAATTTATGAAAAGAGTGGGTGGGATAAAGGACCTTGGTATTTCTGGTGTTACTTATTTTATCTTTTATTTCTTCTCCTCTGGCCCCCAGGGATGGCCAGATTACTGCAATTCTGGACCAGAAGAACTATGTGGAAGAACTCAACAGACATCTGAAGTAAAGAATGAATAAATAATATTGTTTTACTGAGATTTGTGGGGAGAAAAGTGAAGTATAAAAACAATGAACGACAAGCCGGGTGTGGTGGTGCACACCTATAATCCCAGCACTCGGGATGCTGAGGCAGGAGGATCTGTGAGTTGGAGATCAGCCTGGGCTACATAGTGAGTTCCAGGTCAGTCTCAACTACATAGTGAGACCTTTTCTCCAAAAAAAAAAGCGACAAGGATAAATTCAGAAAATGTTCAGCAAATTCAGAATTGTGGATTGCAGGCATTTAGTTAGGTACTGGATACATGAGGTTTCACTGAGTTTTAATAAAAGAGTATAAGATTATTATGAATTTATAACTAGTGATAAAAAACATCCACTTAAGAATTATGAAATATCTGACACATATAATTAAATTAGCAGTCTTCTTAACATAGTGGATAAAGCCACATTTCTCAAGACTGATCTTAAGTAAACTATTCATTATTTTAGTTCCTTCAGATGAGTCATATCCCTTGCTCCCTTGCTCCCTTGCATTTCACACTTAGACAATGAGTTGATTATTACCAAGTACTCACCAAATATTTTCAGAACTCTCCAGAGCATGAAGTAGTCTCCTTTGTCCAGCAGATGGTGATCCAAAACTGTTAATACCCTTAGTACTTTGATGTTTTTGTTATGCTAAGGACTGCTGTGATTAATTCAGGAGATCAGTATATCTATTAGAGACCTTGTTAATAATTTATAGAATTTTTGTTACTTCTGTAGTGAAATCCATTTTTAATTTAAGAATTATACTGTGACTGCTAATATTGGTATTATTTTTTAGTTTTCTTGGTTCCAGCTAAGAAATGCAATTTAAGCCAGTTTTTTCTGGAAACCAAGCACCTGTCATGACTATAATAAACTATAGAGATGTCAGCCAAGCCAGAAGCAACCATGTGACTATGATTGACAGTGAAATATAAACAGGACTCTATTATTTAGTTTTGCCTTAGTTTCTAACGTGTAGGATTGTTGAAAAGAATAAATGAAATAACGCAATGCAAGTAAAATAATTCAGAAGAGTGTTGAGCCAGGCATAGTGGCTCACACCTGTAGTCCCTGCTCCTCAGTCGGGGATTAAACGTTTGAAGCCAGGGCTGGGGATTTAGCTCAGTGACTCTGTGCCTGCATTGCAAGTGTTAGGTCCTAAGTTTGATCCCTGGTACGGGTGTGGGGTGGGGGGTTGAAACCAGCCTGGGTGGCTTAGCAAGCCCCTGTCTCAAGATTTATAAGGGGCTTGGAGTGTAGCTTAGTGCTTCCCATTTTCAGTCACTGAGGTGAGGGGGTCTACATTACTTAACTGAATACAGACTTCAGTGTCAATGATACAGCAACTAAGGCAAGACACCTTTATAAGTTGTCTTAAAGACTACAGGTCTATCAACACTTGTCAATATTAGACAATGATGATAAGTGTGGTAGAGGTCTAAAAGAGAAGGTACAGATTATCTGTTTTTCAATAAAGACTATACAGCTTTTTTGTGGGTTTTTTGGGTTTTTTTTCTCTCTCTCTTAATAGTGCTACAGTGAATAACCTTCAGGCAAAAGTAGATGCATTAGAAAAATCCAACACTAAACTGACAGAGGAGGTAAGTGTCCTCGAAATTCTTTGATCTGTAAAATTTAATAATGTGCGATAGTGAACCCAGTGAAATGTATGCCACCTTAGAAATACAGGACCTGAAGGGCTGGGATTTAGCCCGGTGGCGCCACACCTGGCTGGCAAGTACAAAGTCCTGTGTTCAATCCCCAGTACCGGGAGAAAAAAAAAAAAAGAAATAAAAAGTACTTGACTTGACTTTTCAGATGATATCTTCTCCAATACAGAGCTCTGCGCTCTGGCCAGTCGCTCACCCCAGGGTCCTTTACCCAGTCAGACCAAACAGCTGACTGGCTAAAGAATCGAGAACTGTTGTGTCTGGGCGGATCCTAGTACCACAGCGTGACTCTCATCATTCCTTGTTTAGTAAATACATGAGGCACTGTTTATGTGCTGAAGCTAGTCATTGATGTTTACTCGCCAAGAGCTGATTTATGTGTCAGCTTGGCCAGCTCCTGGCCCCTGTCAGTTTCCTCAGGACAGTGGGGTTGATAAGGCAAAGAGCACAGGTCAGAAGCCACAGTCCTTGGCCTGTGACCTCTGCTTAGGTGCCCCCAGCTCCCAAATCCAGCACCTGACTCATGAGGACGTTGCTACTTCCTCCTTTGGCCTCATGGTGACTCTGAAGAGCAGGTGAGGAGACTCTTGAGAAAAGTCCCTAAAATCAGAAGAGAAAATTCGCCACACGTTTTACTTAGGATTAATAAAGCTGGTGGTTTTTTCCCTTTTTAAAATTTCTTTTTTGGTTCAGGGGATCAAACTCAAGCCCTTCGGCTTGCAAGGCAGGCCCAGTGCCACTGAGCTAAATCCCTGGCCCAAAGCTGGTTTTTTTTCTAACTGGCCAAAGGCTGTGCTACAAATTTTCCTTTAATAGCATTAGATGTTTCTATGAACTATCCTCAGTAAAATTATCAGTATTTTAAAAGAATTTATCTATCTCTAATTGTAACAGTCCTTTTATGTACATTAGGATAAATTTGATTTAAGTAGAATCAAATCAAAGTCAAGAATATGTTGTTGAACCAGTTTTTCTTCAGAAGAAGCTTTACATTGTTATAATGTTAAGACACCTTTGTAGTTCTTTGGACTTCGTTTTTGAATGAAGATTTTTAAATTATAAATACAGAACTTCAGTGACCTTTAGAATCGTATCACATGAGGCTTCTCTGTTCTGCACAGACGCTTTCTACCACAATCCTGTGGCTGCTGTCCTGAGTGTGGCGTACTAGTTGGACAGTCTCTGAGATACCCACTCAGGTTCACAGCCAGCACATCCGAGCTTTCTAATATTGGGCCAAGTACTTAGGCCTCTGTTCCATTCCTTGGCTTACTTGTCTGTAAAATGGTTTACTTATCTCTACCTTATAGTAATAATTAAAAGTTTATTCAGATTAAATGGTGTATGCGCAGTAATGGCCTTAATTAAAGAGTATCTGGCACTGCCTAAGCACATAGTAAATGTGATTGGACGCTGTAAGAAATCCTAGCTACTTGGGAGACTGAGGCAGGAGGATCCCAAATTCCATACAGACCTGAGCAGCTAAGCAAGACTATCTCAAAAATAAAAGGCACTGTGGGGTGTGGCTCAGTGGTAAAGCACTCTGGGTTTAATCCCCAGTACTTTAATCAATCAGTAAATGTGGCTGTTAATTTTTCTTCATCACAAGACTTTTCTCACTGACTTAGATTTATTATACTAGCAACACTCATTTGTTCCTTATTTATCTTACCAATAACACTTATTTTCTTAAAACTGAACAACTTGGCATTATGTGTACTTTGTAGAAACAGATAGAGCTAGTCAGGACTCCTTTGCTCTTCCTATTCTGAGGTTTCAGAGGGTGTGTACAAACAGACCTCTTTCCCCAGTACGTCAGAATTAGAAGAATTGAGCAGATGCACATGTGAACATCTGCTTTGCTGTCAATCAGGTTGAATACACTCCCCTTGGGTCTGCAGCTGTAATCAGGTTTCCTAGTCCTTTCTTGGAAGTTAAGTCTCGGAATAACCTATCTTTTGACGTACTTAGATCTGGAGAGGAGACTGCTTATCCCGAATCCCATCTTTACACCTTAGTAAGCCCATGTGTCAAATAAGATAAGAAGTGGGCTTCAGACTCACCTCCAGAAAACATGCCTGGCCCTCCCCATTCTCCGTTCCCCCGTGTAGGAGCAGGAACCTGGCAGAGTCCATGTCTGCTGCTGGTGAGGAGCTGGCTGCCCTGTTCCTCCTGCTGGCCTATTTCAGGCACCTCCCATCCTCTGGGTTGAACTGAGTTCAGGAGGTGCAGAGAGGAGAGACCTTTCTTTTTCCTTCTGTAGAGCAACAGCTTTAATGCATCTTCTCAGTAACATCTTGCCAATGCCAGGACTTTATCTTGGTAGCTGTGTAAGCTCTGCTAGGGTCTGTTTACAATGAGAGCCCTGGAAGTGTTTGCTTTACTATTTGACAGTCATTGACAGGTCTTTGGGCCCTTAGGGTGGGTTGGTAGAAACAGTATGTTTCTACACACAGTTCCTTAGGAGAAATTTTATTGATAGCTTTCTTTATTTCTAAAAATGAGCCTGAAAATTATGTCCTGGAAGATTATAAATTATGCTGTCATTGAGAAATAAAAGAGGGAGCCAGGCGTGGTGGTGCACGCCTATAATCCCAGCACATGGGTGGCTGAGGTGGGAGGATCACTGTGAGTTCGAGACCAGCCTGGGCTACATAGTGAGTTCCAAGTCAGTCTCAACTACATAGTGAGACCCTGTCTCAAAAAAACACACAAAAAAAGGAAATAAAAGAGGTCCAGGGACTTAGCTCAATGGTGCCACCGCCTGCCTCAGAAGCCCAAGGACCCGAGTTCAATCCCTAGTACCAAAACAAAAAGAAATAAAAGATTATTTTTTTAATTTTATTAATAGCTTGCAGTTGCAAACAACAGGATTATTACCTTACAAGAAGAAATGGAACGTGTTAAAGAAGAAAGCGCCTACATATTGGAATCAAATCGCAAGGTGAGTCTTGCCTGGATTTATAAAATATCTATAGAGAACATGCTAGTGTGTCAGCCACAGGAAGTTTCCAGAAGAGGTGCCCTGTCTGTGCGGGTCACGCATGCTGTTTGGACCTGGCGATGGATGTGTTTGACAGTGGAGGTGATGGGCCAGCTACACCTTCTCATACCTCGCCCTTCTTGCCTTCAGGGCCACCTACATGTTTAGCAACTACAGAAAAGTGTAATTTGGTTTCCTGCTTTATGTACTAATCATTTTTACTACACCATTATTTTCACACCATGTTACTGTTTCATAAGAAGTGACACCTCATTAATCTGATATCCTGGGAAAGAGTGACCATGTAAATGAGTCTTACAGATAACTGAATCCCTTGAAGCACCGAACTTTAATACATGTCTACAGATCTTTTGGCAAACCTTTTATTTATTTCACAAGCCTTCTTAAATGAGAAGACGTAACCCCCTAGTCATTCTTGGTGGCTGAAGATCATCACTGTGAACGCTGTTCTAAACTGTAATGGCGCTACTTTAGGGGCCCACACAAAGTGGTAGTGCTTCCATCAGCCACACTCAGCTATTCCAAGGTGGCATGAGAAAGTTTTCCTGCGCATTAGGGTTTTGGGAATTTACCGGCATCTTTCTTTACTGCTGGTAGTGTTGCTCACTCTAGAAAAGCCTAGAGCCTCTCCACTTCCTCTGTCTTCATACTCCTGATCTAAGGACATAGGCATCAACCATCCAGCCAGTGAAATTGCTCCCATAGAGTAACTGGGCCCTGAGTGGGAACAGAAGCAGTTTCTGCATGCAGAGTGAGTGGCATTAATATGTGAGCTTCATGAATACAGCTGTGAATGCTCAGAAGAATTTTTTTACCTACTTATTTCTAATGTGACCCCTCGATAAGACTCCAGAGTTGAGAACTCTGGAAAATTAATATAGTATCACGTAGACCTTTGGTCCAACTCATATTTTGCAGTGAATACTGTTATTTCTTAAAAGCTGTTTTTAAAATGTCTAGCTTGTGTTTTGGTAATGTGTTTTAGGTTTTTAAGTAAAGGACAGGAAACTCCTAATTCAGCTTAAACCTTTAAAATTTTCTAGACTTAGTTTCTTTATTGTCTCAATTCACTGTTATACCTACTTTTAAGTATCACCACTTTTTTGTACTAAGCAGTGATTCTGGTATCTGCTAATTCTTTGCTGATTATTTAACTCCTTGAATATATATTATCTTATTTTTCAAGGGTCCTAAGCAAGACAGAACTGCCGAAGGGCAAGCACTGAGTGAAGCAAGAAAACATTTAAAGGAGGAGACACAGTTACGATTGGTAAGCATTGCTGAAGTTCTTATAGCTTAGGAAAATATGAAAAGTAGCCTCCTGAGGTGTTGTCTTGCAGACCTATTGATATACGGGATTGTTCTATAAAATTTTTATAAATCCTATGAAACTCTTATTATTCTTTTTAACCCACATTCCCCATAATGCTTTCTCAGTCCATTTTTTTAGTATTCCCAGCAATATGATTTTGCCGTAAAATCTTTTTTTTTCTTTTTTTTTTTCTTTTTTTTTGCCTCTGTAGTTTGCATCACAGGCATATTAGATGTACAGAAGCTACTTTTAAACTCTGCAGTCCCCACTTGTCCCTCACCTAACCTTTGTTCCTGTAAAGATTCAATAGAGCTTGGAGGGAGCAGCTTCTCTTCCCCTAAGAATCCTAAATACAGAATCATACTCTTTAGCTGTTATTTATGAATTTATTCTTAATCTTAGATACAAGTGGGAAAATTTATAGGAAGGAATACTATTCCTATAGCATAGTTTATCCAGCTATTAGGCTGTGGGTAAACCCTGGTATGAGCGTATTAGCTCATACTAAAATTCGATTGATAAACAAAGGAAACCCATACCATAATGTCTCTAAGGACCGGGAAAAGCCTGAAAATAAGAGTGACTCCATCTGTGCTAAAAAGGTATTACAAATTACCAGTTTAGCAAGAGGGGTGGCGCACGCCTATAATTCCACCAATTGGCTAAGACAGAAGATTGCATTGAGTTTGAGGCCAGCCTGGGTGCTTCATAGTGAGTTCAAGGCCAGCCTGACCTACACAGCAAGACCATGTCTCAAAAATAAAAAAAATTTTTAAAAAAATTAGCAGTATGTAACAACTTCAGGTTCAGTTATTTTAATGTCCTTAAAATAGTTAGCATTTGCCGCCTGTGTGGATAAAAATTAGATCTCAAAACACTTTTCCTAAGGAGGATCCTAGAAATAATGCAGCATTCCCATTTACCCTGTAGTTCATTTATAGTCACGTGTAGAGGAAAGTCTGTGTTCAATAGTACATACTAAAAATCTTTAAATTTTTCATATTTTTAAAATCATACTAAGATAAACATTTGTTAAGGAAGTAGGTAAGGCCCACAGTGTCCCTGGGAATAGCACAAGTGCAGAAGAACCTCAAGTCTTTGTGTCTTTGCTCATCCGAATAATGTTGCTGTAACTTGGTGTGATAGCGCATCTGTGATCCCAGCACTCCACAAAGCTGAGGCAGTAGTGTCACAAGTTCAAGACCCATCTGGGTAGCTTAGCAAGACCATCTCAAAGTAAAAAAATTAAGGGTAGAGATGTAGCTCAGTGGAGAGCCCTGGGTTCAATCCCCAGTAACAGTGATGATGGTGTTGTACTAATGTTGAAACAAAAAGGATTTTAGGGTGAAGTAAATCTAAAAATTCAGTTATATATACTGATCATTCCAGTAGTTGAGATATTACCCTGGAGACTCTGAGTTCTTTCTGCATTCCTTGGATTCTTGAACATATCAACATTCAAATTTCAGGGAATTATAACTGCCTTATTTTGTGCTGATTACTATAACACTGTACATTTCTGTAATAGACACAGCAGTGTCTAAATGTCTACTGAAGTACCTCAAGGATGTGCTTAACTAGCACTGTCTTTGGCTAGCAAGTTTTCAGATTTGTTTGTGACTGAGAAAAGGTCCTGTGTTACCCCAATTATTACACATGATCGAGCAGTGATAAAGCAGTGATACGTTACCCTAACTATTCTGAACTCAGGACCTTGCACTTGTGAGGCAGGTGGCAGGCACCAAGGTGCCACTGAGCTGAATCCCCAGCCCACCCTAACTATTCGTATGCTAGCGTCTCTGACATGAATGAGTGCTCTTGACTCTCTTGGCTGAGCTGCAGACCTGCCTTCCTCTAGAAGATTTTATGGCTTATCCAAGCAGAGTAGAGTGTAAGCCATGTCCTTTGTCTGAGGCAGGATGTGGAGAAGGAGCTGGAGCTCCAGATTGGCATGCGGCAAGAGATGGAACTGGCCATGAAGATGCTGGAGAAGGACGTCTGCGAGAAGCAAGAGGCGCTGGTATCTCTGAGGCAGCAGCTGGACGACCTCAGGGCCCTCAAGCACGAACTGGCCTTTAAGCTGCAGGTAGGGAGGGGCCTACTGGCCACCACAGTCCTGGGCCCCCACCTCTTGTGCTGCAGGGGCATGCTGGGAATGCACTTGAGGCCCACCACAGCAGGTATTCTAGGAGTCAGACCATCCTAGGACCCCCAGTCACTGTTCTGGAAAATCAGGGCCACTTTTTGCATTGCAGAGAAGCTTGGGACTCTTCTTATCCTAAGATAATTTCTAGCCTTTCTCTAGCCTTAACATGCCAGTTGAGTTACACATTCCATTCCTCCAGGCTGCACACATAGCAATACTAACATTAACCAGATTGCTTTTTTTCCATTCGAAATTAACTGATATGCAAATATAAGAGCATTTCTATTTCTCTGTTTCCCACTTACCATTAGGTTCAAATAGCATGTGTGATTATATTTCATGATTTTATGTTATATAGATCTTCTGTAATTATTTTACATACAGAGTTCAGACTTAGGAGTAAAACAGAAAAGTGAATTAAACAGTCGTTTGGAAGAGAAGACTAATCAGATGGCTGCTACCATTAAACAACTGGAACAAAGGTAAAGGTACTGTTTCTTTATAGAAACACAGAGCTATCACAGAAGTGAGGAGACTTGTTATGCATTCATTGAGCAGAAAATATATAAATTATTTCAACCTAAATCAGAAAGAAAGCTAGTTAAATTTTATCTTTGTTTTCTAAAACATCACTGAAAACATTGCTAAGAAATGCCATCCTTTTCTGACTTCTTCGAACATCAGAAATGGGTGGGCTGGAGATTTAGCTCAGTGGTATCATGCCTGTCTTGCAGGTGCAGGGTCCTGACTTTGATCCCCAGTACCAAAAAAAAAAAAAAAAAAAAAAAAAAAAAAAAAAAAAAAAAAAAAAAAAAAAAAAAAA